TAATGGGACACACACCTTCCAAAATGTTCAACTTTTGTCTCGTCAGTCCACAGAGTATTTTCCCAAAAGTCTTGGGGATCACCAAGATGGTTTCTGGCAAAACTGAGACGAGCCTTTATGTTCTTTTTGCTCAGCACCTTCATTTAAAAACTGCATGTTGTGTTTACTTGTGTTATCTTTGACTAATATTTAAATTTGTTTGATGATCTGAAACATTAAAGTGTGACAAACGTGCAAAAAAATAAGAAATCAGGAAGGGGGCCAACACTTTTTCACACCACTGTATATCAGATCACGCTGGTGTTTATCTTAAATTACATTTAGATAACATGCCAAAAAATAGAATCTGGCGTTTAAACACAGGAATATTAAACGATATTACAGTACAGGAGGAACTGAAAATTGAATTTGAGCACTACCTACAGGACAATGATAATGGAGAGGTTTCACCTCATGTGTTATGGGATGCCCTTAAGGCGGTGATACGGGGGAAAATTATTCTCTTGACTTCATTGCGGAAAAAGGCCAAACAGAAGAAGTTTCAGGAACTACAAGAAAAAAAAATTTAGAAGATGAACATAGACAGAATAATAACTCAAATCTGCTGAATCAAATAAAGACGGTGAGAGAAGAAATCAATAAAATATATGAAGATGATGTAGAAAAACAGGCCAAATTTACTAAACAGAGATTCTATGAAACTGGGCCCAGAGCCATGAAACTTTTAGCTTGGCGTCTCTGCAAGCAAAGAACAAAAAACATAGTAAAGAATATTAAAAACCCAGTTACATGGAAAATAAGTAATTGTATAAAGGATATTCTAAATTCTTTTGAACATTTTTATAAAACTCTTTATTCTCAGCCATCTCAAACAAACACGCAATCGATTTCAAATTTTCTTGATTCATTGGATTTACCGTCAATTGGCACAGAACAAAACAAAATATTAACGGCTGAACTAACGCAAGACGAATTAGATAAGGCAATAAATAGCTTAAAGACAAATAAATCTTCCGGAAAGGATGGATATCCGTCTGAATGGTACAAAATATTTCGCTCCGAATTAACACCCTTACTTCTCAGATCGTTTAACCATACACTTAAAGAGGGAGAGCTTCCACAGTCTTGGAAAGAGGCAATCATATCGGTGATACATAAACAAGGAAAGGACCGTAAAGAATGTAGCTCATACAGACCCATCTCAGTTCTTAATGTAGATTATAAACTGTATAATTCAATTCTAACAAAAAGATTAGCAACCGTTCTACCAGATTTAATAGATCATGATCAGACCGGGTTTATTAAAAACAGACAAACCCATGATAATATTAGACGTACACTTCAGATAACGAGTCATATAACTAAAAACAACATTAGTGCAGTCTTTCTTAGCCTAGATGCAGACTGCAGTTATATCTGATCAAATGCACATTATTATTCTTTAGTTTGGGTTAAACAAATCAATTTTGCTTG